GGGCATCCAGGGCAACGCGCGTAGCGCAGGTTTTTGAGACCCTGTCATTGCTCACCCTCACGTGAGCCCACTTAGTTGGAAGCAGCTTATCGGAGCGGACCGCTCTATGTCGGCACGGCAGCGCCGAGAAATGAGTGCGCTATTCGCATCAGGCGCAGTGGACTACGAGCAGTCCTTCCTCTTCGGCGGCATCGTACTTACCCGCAAGAGCTTGCTCTGAAGGGTTTGGTGTAATTCGCTGTGACGATGGCGCATCTCTCGTGCAACAATTCGGCAGGTTTGTTTGGTACTCCGCGTGGGTGCATTGGGTGAAGTGGTCAAGCTGATGTCTAGGCGCTAGGTCTCACTGGAATGGCGGACAGGGTCACCCAGTCCGACCAGATAATCATTTCGTTCGTATCTCTGCAACATCTGTGCGAAGCAGATTGGCAGTTTTTCCTCGGCGGGTGCGTTTCGAATTCCAGGCGGCCCGCTACGGAATTGCCGAAGGAAGAGCGTTGGTGGTGCGTAGCAGCGATGTTGCTCGAGGACCCCGACGGCGGCGGCATGGAAACGTCGAAAGCGGCGACGACGACCACGACCACGGCGGCGACGACGACGATGACCCAGAGGCCCAGACTTGATACTGGCGACACTACCTCTAGGCATAGTGAGGCTGAAAACGGGATGTTGCCTGAATGGGTTCGGGGGTTCATGTATACATGGCTACGGCGTCGGTATCTACCCATTGGTGGATGTGCCACTACTCATTGTCCGTGGCGGCTCAGGTGGCCTGTATTATAGGAAACAGCTTGGTGGTGGGACGTGTACTCCACTCAGCTGAACCCCGAACGCTTCAGGTGGGCTCTACTATAGAAAACAGCTTGCTGGTGGGACTTGTATTGTAGTCGGCTGAAGACCGTACTTCGGTTCTCGGGTGCTGGTTACTGCACTCTGTGATGGTGCTGATTATCCTGTTCTGGTGAAAGTGCTGGTTATTATACTCCGTGATGGTTCATTGGTACGAAGATTACGTCTAGTTCATAGTCTGTCCTCCAGTACTGCTGAGACCCATACTTGCCACTTTGGATTTCACGCTGCTGTAAGAGAGTATGTCTGGGTACAGTGAGGCTGGACACTGGATGTTGCCTCAATGGAGTCTGGGGCTTACAGCGTTCGATGCGAAAACATGTGTGTCCTCTTCACAGTCCTCCTCCGCCTCTGCCTCGTTTGATCCGTTATGGTGTGGGTCGTTCGGGCTCTTCGTCCTGGTGTGAGTCGTTCGGGCTTCCCGTGGTGAGAGTTGTTTGGGCCCCGCAACCGGGTGTGGGTCGTTCGGGGCCCTCCTCCTGGTGTGACTCCTTGGGGCTCCTCGTGGTGTGAGTCGTTCGGGGCCCTCGTCGTGGTATGAGTCGTTCGGGCTCCATAAACATAAACTTGTGGCGCTGCGCGCGGATTTCTTGGATCCGCGCTGGGCCCCCCCGGCGGCGCCTCCGGCGCGGCCCCTGGCGCGCTCCGCGCGCCAGTGAGGGGGGACCATACATGAGGGAGGGGTCATTGGAGGGGTCTGGGAGGCATCTTGGGCCCAATGGCTCAAAACAGAAGGGTTGTACACAATTCCCCCCCCTCGGAGACTCAAAAATTGCGCCTTGGGGCCTTCTTGGGCTGCTCTTGGGCGCTCTTGGGGCCCTTTCGGCGTCCTCTTGTACCCCTCTTAGCGCTCTCCCGGGCCGTCTTGGGGCCATCCTGAGGCCTCCAAAGCCCATCGGAAGGGAAACAGCGAGAAGGCCACACGCATTGTATGCTTACCTTAGTAATGTTGGCCTCCATGAAGGGTGCCTACGCAGGAAGGCTCGAAGGGCACTTGGAACCGTCTTGGGGCTGTCTTGGGGCCGCTGTCGAGGGCCCTCTTGGAGCCATCTGGAGCCCATCTTGATTTAGACTCTAACAGTTAGAGTCTAACTACCCGGGCCGCTCCCCCTCCCAGGCCCTGGGCAGCCCAGGTTCGGGGGAGGGGTGAACCCCTTTCCCACGCAGGGGAAGGAGGGGAAGAGAAGACAAAACTCGTTAAACCACCTACGCGCTGAAGGGCTGGTGGGATTCTCTATCCGCGGACGCGTGTAACCACCGACCTGGAATTCCCCCAAAAGAACTCTTTATGCAATCGGAATGGAGAGCTGCGTGTCCAGGAGGAGGAGGAGGAGGAGGAGGTGACGGGTGATCAGGAGAATGAGCAGAAGGAACAGGAGGAGGTTGAGGAAAGATGACGACGAAATCGAACGGCCGCAACAGGAACTCGAGGGGAAGGAGTGTAAGGAGCAAGATGACCAGGGGAAGGCGGAGGAGTGGAAATCAGGGGCCCTACAACGATGAAAATGGGCTCGGATCCAGAAAAGTGGCCCGCGCTTGGGGGAGAGCGCCACTCTGAATGACGGATGGCCATTGCTGATCCGAAAGTGAAGCCCACTGCAGCAGGAACACCATTTCGAAGCACCGGGCACAATCGCATTGCTGAACCAATCAGGAGAAACCATGCTTCGAGCACTGGTGTTTTAAATCAATGCGCCGAGAGGGCCCGACATCTTCCGCACACAATCAAGGGATCGAGGCGAGTAGTATTCATAATGTGTAAGTGTTGGGAAGGAGGATGAAAGGATGGGAGGGAACGACGACGACGACGACGACAACGACGACGACGACAACGAAGAAGAATACGATGACGAAGACTGATACGACGATTCAACTCAACCACGACCGCTTGTCTAGATCTTTCGCTCTGGGAGCGTCTTGGAGACCCCTTGGGCCAACCTGGGGCCTTCGAGGCGCTCTTGAGGCCCTCCTGTGTAATTCTGACAGCGTGCCCCACTGTAATTATGTCGGCGTGTCCGAGTGTATTTCTCCTTTCAGCAACCAAGACTATGACATCGTGTTGCTGTGCATCTGGTGCCGTTTCTTGCTGCCGCTTAGGAGACGCGCTTGGTCGCCATTGCAGCCTTCTTGGGGTTTTCGTGGATCCCTTATGGCGCTCTTTCGGGCCATATTGAGGCGTCTGACCCAAGTCGCAAGGGAAACGGGGATAATCCAAGCCATAGTCAGTTCCAGATGTTTGGGGTGGAGGTTAGCCTCTCGGGGGCCATTTTGGGAGGCTATGTGACCACCTGGTGAGCCCGTCTTTGAGCCGTCCTCGGACCTATTGGACTGGGATTATGGCCTCGGGGACGCAAATATTATGTATTGTTACAGTCGGCCCGGATTAGTAGATCAACCCTGCCAGCTCAAGGGTACCCTTGTGTCATGTGCCTCGCGACACGTGCCTTCTTATACTCCTATGGCGATGTGGCCCTCGGAAGGGTCTTATGTCCTCTCGCGTGTCTTGTCCAATCAAGGCCGACTGTACGTGTCCCACGCCCCCCAGGAATTCAGACAACGCGATCTGCGTGTGGTAAAAACGATTGTTTGGGGGTCTCCCCCCCTCGCGCGTTCAGCAACAATTAGCAGTAAGGAAGCAGAAGGCAGGACAGTAACAGTGGAAACTGGAGCAACTGGAACATGGAGCTGCAATCCTCACCCTCGCAGCCTGGTGGCCCCGGAAAGGGGGCCGGCGGATTTTCTTGAGCCATGCCTTCTTGGGCGCTATACTCTAACCTCTCACCCTCCACCACCCCGTCCAGACCCAGGGGAGGGGGAAGGGCGACGGGATCCCTCCCCGAAGGGGGAGAAGAGGGACGCGCCTTGGATCAGGCGATCGCAAACATGATCAAGGGGGCGTGGATTAGCAACGGGTCCCGTTTCCATAGGAAATCGCGGATTTCCGCCGCCGAGCGAGGCGGCACCGGCCGCATTTTGGAGAGGGCACCGCCCCCGATCCATGGGTTTGGCGACCGCGCGCCAAATCCGTGGATCGCTAATCGGTGTTCGCGCGCTCCCGAGCCTTGGACCGCCTCCGCACTGCTGGGTTGTGGGAGTCGAGTCCCCCACCCATGCCGCTATTCTTGCCTTTGTGTGTCCCTGGTGTGGGCCTCCCGGTCGGCCCGCGTCGCCACGGCTGCATTCTCAGGAGGGGAAAAACACAGACACAATTAATCGTCGACTGCCAGGAAAATATGGGAAAGTATGGGAAGTGGGGGGGAAGACAGAAACCCAGAAAATATGTGAAAATATGGGGAATCCGGTTATTTGTGTGTATTTATTTGTGTGTCCGAGGGCCCCTTCAATCTTGGTCAGAACGCATTCCAGGAAAGGTCTGGGGAGCAGCGGTATCAGGACCTGTTGGTTTCCCCAGGTGGGATTCGGGTGTTTCCATCGGAGGTCGAACTGACGGGGGGCGCGCTTGGGGGCGCATGGGGCTTTGGTGGAGCCCCCCCTAGGCTCAGCTCGGGGATCTCGTCGGCGATCTTGGAGCCACCTTGTAGCTGCCCATCGGAAGCGAACATGCAAGACGACTCATACTTATAGCAAGTGATGGCGGGTACCCTCACATGGAGATTTTGGCCCACTTGTGCACATTGTATTGCTTGTTGACGTGAATGCTTGGGGGTGTTTATGGCGTCTGGTCAGCGGCAGGTCTAGTTGGGGAGGGGGAGGGAAGAGAGGTCGATCCAGAGGAGGACGAGGAAGAGGAGGAGGAGGAGGAGGGGGAGGAGAAGTCGGAGGAGGAGGAGGTAAGGTCGGGTGGGGCCACTGCCTTGACATGAATTTCTCCACGTGCGCATGGCGACCACAGCCAGAGAACTTGTGATGAGTCTGGAATTCGCGTGTAGGGTTTAGATACCCCCCTCTCTGAATTCAACTCCGCAATCTAGTAATCATCCTCCTCATGCTGCGGGATGCATTAGTCGCAACCACTACATTCGTAAACGTTCATTAACCATGACCGAGGTGGAGGCGAAAGCGACAAGTGGTGAATCATACTCATAGTATTATGAGGATAAACGCGGACATCGTGCGAGGGACGTGGGCGAATCTGTTTGGCAAGCATCAACCTTCAAGAGTCGAGGATTCTGTCAGAGCGCGGCCCGAAGGACTTCAGCGACACCATCGCTTCCTGGGACGGCTTGGAAAGGCCGCGCCATCTATGCACACTCACATGAGCGCTGCGTTTTAGTAATGCGCTGGTTTTCTTGTCGAATCGCTATGCACCGCTGCCCTGTCCCTTGGTTCACAAATCTGCGACATCCAGATAAGCTGTCCGGAGAGGAAACGTCAGATTGTGAGTTGTTCGGAGGCTGCATGTGCTTGCGGCAAATCCGTTCCCGTGCATCAGCAGGCTGGGCTACGACTAGCATAACTTGTTGCAGATCGTTCCCGGTTGTTCTTGCAGCGTTCCCGAGCGGTATGGAATGGCCGCGGCGCCCGACGCACCCTTCAGAACCGCCAGATCCCAGATCTCAGAAATCTTGGATTTATCCGGTTCGATTTTGTTCTCGTCTTGGCTTCGTCTTCAGAATCAGCATCCATGCAATGCAGTTCTGCCGAATTCTCCCCAGCGGGCGTGCTAGATCCATCCTGGGGCCGCCTCGGGGAGTCGCGGCCGTAATGTGACATGCTTGTTGCGTTGCCGCCTGTGCGGGTTCGTTGGATGTTCATTCAGGGCTATGATGAACCAATTTATTGTAGCCTTGACCACGAAAAAGAATTTTGAACCCCAACAAGTACCGAAACTCAGTGGTTTTCACGTGTCGGGCCCTGGGAGGCACTCGTTACTGTTTCGTTACTTTTCCGGGCGCTCGAAATTATTTCTTGGATGTGGTCCTTAAGTACGACGGGAGCAAGATAATTTCGGGGGTTCTTCGGGACTACTCGTGGCTGTAAGTTTGGGGCGATTCGCGCTATCTCTCGGGGGTCTCGAGCCCTGGGGGAGGGGGGTGCAGGGCACTCGGTATCTGGCGGTCCTCCGGGGGGCCTGTCGGAGGTATTGGTGCCCTATTTGAGCGATTACTATACCAGACTGTCCCGAACAGTCTCTGTTGCACCATCGTTGGGCAGGTTGGCCGGGTGTTGGGTTGTATTTGCGCGTTGTGGTACGATCGGGGCGGTCTCGACTGGAGGCAGTAGTTGGCCGCCATATGGGCGTGCGTGGGAGATCCGAAGCTTATTGATGCGTCTTTGCGAACAGTACGACTAGCAATTCAACGACTCCATATCATATACACCAAAATGCGCACTGCCCCCCACTCCCAGCACCCACTGATCGCCTTCTTATCTTTCGACGGTGTTCTTCTCTTCTCTTCCTCTCCGTTTGTACCCTTTTCCTCGTCCTCTCGATTCTGTCTGGTATACGTTCTCCTTCTGATTCTCCTCTGCCTGTTACTTCTCTTCCTCATACTGCTACTGCAGACCCCCCTGAGTTCGTTCATCTTCCAACGCTTCATCGCCAGTACAGTCACTTTGCCTAGCCGCCGACGTAAAAAGTGTGTGTGTGTGCGCGTGTGTGTGTGTGTGTTTGTGACTGTGTGCGTGTGTGTGCATGAGAGAGAAAGTGTGTGTGTGCGCGTGTGTGTGTGTGATATGTTGTGTGTGTGTGTTTGTGCGTTTGCATGTGCGTATTCGAGCGTGTGTGCGTGTACGTGTGCGTGTGTGTGTACGTGTGGTTGTGTGTGTGGAGGGGGTTCTCGAAACATTAGATGCAGCAGCCCTTCAGGCAGCAGGTTGAGTTCAATACCGGCCACAAGCCGGGTGAGGAGTGTGCCGGCATTGGCGGAGCAACAATCAGTAGACAATGCGGCAGGTAAGGGAGGAGGGGGCGGAAGGGCCAGGGTGCTTCGCGCGGGCGAGGTCTCACCAGGCGGTCGTCAGCTGTAACTCGTTCGAGGTTTGTTCGGTTTTGACTGGCACATGTGGCGGCGAAGTTGGTCGGGTAAACACGGCAGAGCCACCCACTGCTGTGCAGATGCGCAAACGCTCCGTTTACGGTGAAGCTGTGTCGAGAAGGGGGCTGAAGGCGACAGGAGAGAAGACGCGCGGAGCAGTGGAGACACAACGAGAACCCAGCAAGTCAGGAAGCCTGGGAACGATGGGCTTACAGGTTGCACTGGTTCGTTCCGACGGTGTACGGATCTGGTTTCAATGAGTTCCGGTCCAGTCCAACAAGGGAATGCACCTATCCGACGCTTCGTGATGATAATGCAAGTGTTTGCAGTGTTTTCTTGTCTTACGCGTTTCCTGCTCATTTCGTTTTTTATTTGGCGAATCAGGTAGGCGTTGCATTCAAAACCAGGCACCCACGTCAAATATCACATTGTTGAAATCCCCTATGGCCGCCCCAATCTCCTCAATTGTTCTCGTTCTCCTCCTCCTCCTCCTCCTCCTTCTCCTCCTCCTCATGGCAATTCTCTTTGAGGTAGTTCATCTGCAGCCACCTCCTCCGCATCCTCCTTGTTTCTGTTGTTCCCTCTCATGTTCCTCAACCCAACCCTTTGTTCTCTCTCGTCCACCTTCCCATTTCCATTGGCATCCTTTTCTCCTCATCCTCTCTTCTCCTCCTCCTGCTTGTCCTCCGTTTCGCCCTTGTCCTCCATCGTTTCGGGCGTAGCGGGAATATGTTTAGAGAGTAGCCCGAAGCGTTTTTGTCCAACGTCGTCAGGCTGACAGTATCGTTTTGATTGTGTCAGATTGGCCGCACCCAATTCGTTACAATAGCAGTTTGCATTGTTTTGAGTGGCCGAGGGCGCCACCCATGGCACAATCAATCGCATGCCGTTCTCAAAGGGTCAGCGACCGAGGGTGCAGCCAGTAGCAGATTGTCAGCGGCTGGTGCGGGGCGGCGAGCAAGCGTGTAATTTGCAGGAGGGGCGACTCGCTCGCAATTGTTCGCACCCGTCAAAAAAATTGTTCGCACCCGTCAGCAGGACGACTTGCACTGAAAACCCATGCCAAGAAACACCCTGCTTGCCTCCAGGGCGCCCTGGGTCTCCTGTGTTTTGATGGTTCTGCTATGGAGAGATGGAGAGCGTGACGTTCCCACACCAAAACTAAATGGACGTCCTGGGGTCTCAGGTTTGGGTTCCTCGTGGAAGGTTCCTTGTGGTCGAGCTCCTACTGTACCCCTCGGCGGCGGATCACGCAGCCTGTGCCCTGTGAGCCCTCTCGACCGCAGGTCGCCTTTTGGGGGGACTGCCAGCCGCCGACGGCGCCATCCGTGGCGCATCGGGGTTCTCGCAACGCTGTCGGTCTCGAAGGGCGCAGTGGCAACTTGCGGCGCGACGTTTGCCAGGACGCCGAGTTCCAGGCGGGGATTTGCACGGAGCCACCACCTGGAGGGGAGGGTCAGTTTTTGCGGACCTCCACAGGCGGTGGGCGTGGATATATTCTGGCCCCCGGGGGCCAAGCTAGATCCACAGCCACCGCCCGCTGGGTCCCCAGGACGTCGGTTCCCAGGCGGTGGACATGGATAAAATCCCCGCGCCGTGTCGAGTAGGGCGCAGCCAATCTCACGACCAGCAGCAGGACGTCTCCAGTTTCCTGGGTCGGGGTCGCCACGTATGATGCAACCAACAGCGGGACGGCCGAGGCTTCGACGGCCGAGGGCGCATCTGAGAAACTTCGAGCGAGGAAAGAGGACGGAGGAGGGAGGGAAGGAGAGGCACCGGCGAGGCGAATGGGGCTGCCGAAGACGAGGGCGAGTAGGCGGACTGGTGCTCAGAGCAGTCCTCCCTCGCGGCTGCTGCGCGGCGGCGACCGAACCGTGCCGTCCTTCTGGGGCCCTGCGGGGCTGCGGGGGCCCCAGAGGCGAAGCTCACCACCCACCAAGCCACCCCAACCCAACCCGAAGGCTCAGATTTACCCTCGATTTCCAGTGGGGAGGGGGTCGGGAAACATAAGAAAAAACACGTGTGGAACCCTTACCCCCCCCAACCCGAAATTCGGGTCTTCGGGTTGGGTTGGGGTGGTCTGGTAGGTAGTCAGAAGCCGTCCTGAGACTCTCCCTAGCCGTTTTTTGGCCCCAGCCGTTTTGGCTAGCCCCTCGGGACATTGCGGCCGGGTGCGCCCGGCCATGCGCACGGCGCGGAAGAGCCAGGCCCGCTCGGCCTGGCCCCTCGCGGCGGCTCTGTGCTGCGGCGCCGCCGGGCTCTACGGCGGCGCCGCGTTCGCGGGCCCCGCGCGCGCAGGCCGCTGGCTCGCCAGCGGCTGGCCCGCGCCCTGCGCTGCCGCGGAGGCGCCGCAGCCCGCAGCGCCCGCCGCCCGCGCGGGGGCGGGCGGCGGCGGCCGCGGGAGGCCTCGCCTGGCGCAGGGAGGCGGCAAGGCCCGGCCCGGGGCGGGCGTGGGGCGGCCTCTGGGCGGGGCGCTGCGGAGGAGGCAGAGGCCCCCGAGCAGGGAGGAGTACCGGCCCCTGCGGCCGAGGGTCGAGGAGAGGTCCGCGCGGGCGCAGGGCGTCACGCCGCAGGCGCTCTGCGGCGCCCTGCTGAAGGGGCTGCCGCTCGGCTTGCTCCAGTACGGGTGGTTCCTGCACAGCCACGTGGTGGCGCTGCCGGGGGTCGTGAAGCTGCTGCTGCCCGACATCGTCGTGTACACGGCCGCGCTGGAGAGCGTCTTGATCAAAGTCGCTGCTGGTATCCTTGTTGTGCTTCTTGCCGAGCTCGCCGCCTCTGTGCGCAGAGTTAAGCGAGGTAAGATCCCTCGCTCGAGACTCGTTGGGCACGTGGTTTTCGCAGTTGCGACGATCGTCTCAGCTTGGATCTGTAGCGAAGCAGCGCGTTCAATTGTCGTGTCGAGCTGCAGCGTAGCCACCTGGTTTAGTAGCGAGGTTCCCAGACGGACAGCTGGGCATATGCTCGCGCTAAAGGCGTCGATTGCCGGTGCGATGGCATGTTGTGGTCTAGGACCCCTCTCATCATGCGTTACCAGCGTTATAGTTCGGAAGGGGCGCGCTGATGGATCAACCAAGGTCCTTGAGCAACTTTCATTTAAGGCCCCCGCCGGGCTGCGATAACAATTTTCACATTTTTTCATTGCCTGGTTTTAGCTTGCGCGTCGAATTTGATTTTGCGTGGTAGCGCGTGCAAATGCACAGTTATATTGGTATATGTCTAGAAAGTGTGTCCCCCTGTTGCAGAGATCAGGTCTTCCCGCCCTCGAGCGTGTACAGGCCTTACACCCTAATGGCGGATCATGCAGCAAGGTTTCGCATGAACGTGGAGAGACTAGAAAAAAGAGCGGAACCGATTCTGCATTGGCCGCGATTCAAAACATTACATTGGTGTGTGTGTATGTTTGAGCTCCACACAGTTACTCAGTGCAATTCGCTGGGAGCAATCTACGGGGTGCGAGGTGTCCGACCTTTGAGGTGCAGTCTGTGGCGGGGGGGGGGGCATCTCGTGCGGTAATGACTACTGGTGACACTCTTGAACGGCAACTTCGGGGGAGTCAAATATTTCGGGTGCGACCGATGTGGCACAATTTGGGGGTGCAAGCTAAGGCCGCAAACCATGAGATGCATCTGTTTGTGCAGACTACGCGGTGCAGTTGAACATGAAGAATCTGAAGTCGTCAACTCCATTGCTCGTGCAGCAGTAACTCCGTGCCACAGATAACATCATATTATATACATCAATAAATATATATATACACACACGCACCCCACGTGAAGTCCGTGGTGATGGTGTTCTGAGGCCAAGACATGTTTTGTCGTTGGTGGCGGGCGGCGAGGACAGACTTTTATTATCCACAGGGCCAAATACCAATCGCAGCTGTTATTATCCTAGCATGAGTAGAAGCATTGCCATGATCGTCACTATTGTGGTTATTTAGCTTACTCCTACTACTGTAATTATTTCCTATGTTTGCACCTATTCGTATTACACTCGTTGCCCTTGGGGGTAGCGTATGTTACCCCCCCTGGCCCCTCCCCTCCCCATACTGATAACGCTTGATAAACCAGCCGTACGAGGAACTCCGACTCCGGCGCCCACCTGCGCCTGAGCGTCCGAAATCCTTGTCCCTGAGCTGCTGGGGGCCCGCGGGAGGAGGCCCCCCAGCGGCCCCGAGTTTTCCTCCGTCTGCGCGCCCACCACTTCCCAGGGACGCAGGTTTCGAGCGCTCTGGCGCTGGGGGTGTCGAAATCCAGGTCCATGGGCGGCAGCGCGCCCTGGGGCCTCGGCCGGGCCTCTGTGGGCCCTCTACGATTATTCTCAGTGTTATTATTACAACTGCGACCGCTACTGGTATTTAACCTGCTACTACTATTATTGCTGCTGCTGCAACAACAATTGCCACGACGACGACGCCGACGACTACTAATACTATTTCTACTGCTGATACCACTACTTTTACTACTAGTAGTGGTAGTAGTAGTAGTAGTAGTACTACTACTACTACTACTACTACTACTACTCCTAATACTACTTCGACTACTATTTTCACTCGTTTTATTAATATTACTCCTACTACTACTCCTCCTCCTACTACTACTACTACTACTTCCACTACTACTACTACCACTACTACTACTACTACTACTACCACTACTACTACTACTACTACTACTACTACTACTACTACTACTACTACGACTGCTACTACTTATTGCTGCTGCTGCAACAACAATTGCCACGACGACGACGACGACTCCGACGACTACTAATACTATTTCTACTGCTGATATCACTACTTTTACTACTGGTAGTGGTAGTAGTAGTAGTAGTACTACTACTACTTCTACTACTACTACTACTATCACTCCTTTTACTAATATTACTCCTACTACTACTCCTACGACTTGTACTACTACCACTACTACCAC